TGTTACAAATTATGTAACATGGAAATACATTAAAATATAGAAAAAAATTTCAATAGATTTAATATAATCATTTTAATTGGTTACTAAATCGCTAAAAGCAAATATTATTGTATGCTTTCATAACTGTAAAACTACTAAAGTTTCTGTAATATTATAAAACTACAATCAAACTATAATTATGGAAGTTCTAGAAATACCGTTAAAGTAAAAACAACAAACATTTTTCATTCCATTATAAATGAAAGAAAACATCATTATTTTTCAATAACTACTACTACAGAACACAAACATCATTCTAAATTTATAAATCTTAAGATTTATTATATTTTTCTCTAATTAATTTTTAAATAATTATTCAAAAACGATAACTCTATTATAAATCACATGAACTTGCATAAATATAAGATTGTAATTAATGTCAATACAATATAAACAATAGAGTCAATAGTAAAAACATATTTATTTTATTATTTATAATTTTACTATTTTTTTGTATTATGGACAAAGAACTAAATTTTGTTGCTTTTTAATACGTTTCTAAATGTGTCTACTCGCAAATCATTTTTGTTTGAGTCGAGTTAAGCTATTTTTATTCTGTGATTTTAAACTTGTTGATTTTTCTTTCGTTCTATTTCAGCGTTTCAGAAAAAATATCGTGAATATTTGTGGTTTTCGAATTCTATTTAAGTTGCTTAGAAAGAATGCAATCATGCACATCTCTCGAATTGCATTTTTGACAAGATTCCAAGTCGATTATATATAAATATATTTTATGTGATATAAATGTCACCGTCGACTTTGCCATTATATAAATTGAAATTTCATACAAATATTATAAATATGTGTATAAAAGTCATTTTTGATAGATATTACTTAGTTATTTAACATACTTTAAAATTATTTATTATCTTATGATTTTGAAAAAATAGTTTATAGATAAAAAAAAACTATTCAATTATCATATAAATATTTTCGAAAACGTTGTTTTAGTTGTTTTTGAAAATTCACAATTAAATATAAGTAGATCAGTCCATTTAAAGCAACTTGTTTCCCAGAATGGACCACTTGATTAATTTCAATTATATCAAGTATAATTTAAGAAAACATCCAAATCCAAATCCTTTTAAAAATCGGAAACTTTTACTTGGAAATAAATTTATTGTGTTATTTAATTGTAACATTTTTTTTTAAATAAAAACATAATGAATTGTATTTTTAAAAAGATATAACTTGCTTGTCAAAAAATAATTTTAGAGAAAAGCATGAAGAATCACAATTAAATATGCGTCAATAAAGCAACTTCTTTTCCCAGAATGGATCACTAAAGAGAATTACAGTTATCTTAAATATAATTGAAGCAAAAATAGTTTTAATCGTTTCACTTAATTTCTACATAACCAATTTCGTTTCAAAATTGGAAACTTTCAGTTATTCATAAAAAAAATAAACTAGTACTTTTCAATATGATGTAATATAATCAATAAAAGCAACTTGTTTCCTAAAATGGACCACTTGTTTAACTTCGGTTATGTTAAGTATAATATTAGCAATTAATTTCTTCTTACCAAATATACTGTCAATTATTAAAAAAATATATTACTATTAAATTGTTACATGGTTTGCGAAATTTCTTTAAAGTAAAACTAAGAACAAATAGTTTTTTTAATAATGTAATTTGTTTTTCAAATTATTCATATCAAGATTAATTTCTAAAAAAAATAGGTCTTGAAATGTTATCCTTCTCCAATAAATTTATAATTCAACATGGATTTTTGTTTAAGAAAAAATTAAAAATAAATAATATCTACTTAATTTTTATGTCAATTTAAAAAATGATAATTTTGTGTATAACTATAAATAAAGTTAAATGCGATTGTTACGAATTGAAAGAATACAAAATGTTTATTAAGTTTGATTTATTTCTGAAAACTTAGGTCAAAATGATAATTTTACGTATAACTTCAAACAACGAGGAAATTGATTTAAAACATTTAAAAAAAAGTTTATAAAAAAGAGTCTAGAAAACAGTTAAAAATATGATCTGTTTATTTGCGAAATTGAGTAATCCGCATATTTTCCAAATTACGTTCTAGAATGATGACTGGCTCTCAGTATTTTTAGAAATGAACAGAAGTTTTCGTTTTCATAATTTCCATAAATAGAAAAAAATAAAATTAAACGCATAACGAAATACAAACATTTTAAATAATCGACTAAAATGCATTTTTTTTTGGAGCGAATTTTAAATTGCCTCCTTATTCTCAGCATCTTGTAGAGATTGAACTCATTACGCCAATTGAAACAATAAATATTTACGAAAAGATCCGCAGCTGTGCATCCTAATCGGTCTATCGAACAGTCTAGGAATAGACCGACCGACCCAAGAAGAACCGTAGATTATCCAGCGCCGTGGGGAGCAAAATATATTTTATAAATATATAAAAATAGTTACGATTCTGACTAACATTTACACAATTCGAACATCTAAATTTAAAGTGTTTTATTTTATTTTTCACTCTCTAAAAAAATATATTACAACACTAATTGTTTGTTTTCTTTGTTCAATTTCTCATAACTCGAAAACGTTTTACATTTCGTCCCTTAATCGAGTATCTTCGTTTCGTTTGAAACGGCTTTTCAGGTTCCTTATGAAAATGATTTATGAAAAGTAAATTAACTTCCCCTTACTCATGTTAAGAAAACATACGTACAATGCGATATTATTTTCGTCAATATACGATTTTTTGTTGTAAATCTTTTTTGCTGTCTTCTTAAGCAAAGAATATAGTCTAGACGTTTCCATTACAAAAGGAAAATAATAAATATAATAAATAAAGGGAGACGTGCCGCAAAACTCTTCATCTTATCTCCTCTTTGCTAGTTTATCTCGTGATTTTGACCCTAGATATATTATTTAACCATCGTCAGGTATCCAATATCCTTTCGATAATTAATAAATAATACTTCTATTCTCGATTCTCGCAGGCTTTTAATTTTGAATGAAGGTTCAAGGCAACAAGAGATTTCATTTTCTCAACGTGAATGTACGAATTTTATATAAAAAAAATAAATCGATTTTTTATGAATAGTAAAAATTCATTTCCACTTAACTGTACAAATATTAATTGCAAAATAGTATATATAGAAAATGATTTATCTTAGGAAATATTAAAAAGATGTCATAAGTTTTTACTTTAATTTCTCAATTCTCTAACATTTTTTATACCTATAACATTCTATATTTATTACTTATAACATCTTTCATATTAGAATAATTTCCACGTTAATGTACTATATAGTAAATTTCTAAAAATTAACATAATCAATGCAAATTCAAACTGACTGATGAGGTACATTCTATTAATATGTTGTTTAAATGAATTAAGATTACCCTTTCTTTTCCATATATCAATATTATAAAATTAACTTAACAAGTTTGCTAAATGATTAGATTTATTACTTTGTAAACCGAAGTAACATAAATCAAAACTACTTATTATATTCTTTTATAAAATATTATGAAATTACTGAAAATTTACGACGTAAACCGAAGCAACGTGACTATACTATTTTTCTTCATTGTTATTTCTTTCTCACGTTTTGCCTAAATGGAGTACAATTTCGTATTTTTTTTTATCTAGATACAATATTATCTAATTAGTGAAAATTGACGACGTAAACCGGAGCAACACAAATAGAATCTATCTGTTCATTGTTAACTTAACAGACTAGAACTAGAATTACATATTTTATATTTAGATAATGTATTATGAAAGTACTGAAAATCAACGACTAAAACTATTATTTTAATAATTTTGTCAACATTTTCCAAAATATAAGATTTTTTTTGACTATATTATAGTAAATTATCAATAGTTTTCTTTTACAAAAATTCTGTTGTAGTTATTTTTTGTAAAATATTTTTCCTTAGGTATATAATGTATAGAAAAATTAGAAACGGATCATATATGATGGTTTAATTAAACAATTAGAAGAAAAGATTTTTTAAGATAACAATATGACAAACATATTTGTATATATATCTAATCATTTTGTACAAAATATTCCAATAGATTCATAAAATAATAAAAATAAAAGAAAACAAATCACTAAATAATTGTTACACACACAACAATATTGAAAACTTGGTCATGAATCGATGGGATTTGTGGAGAATTGTAATTACAAATAAATATATAAAAAAGACAAAAAAGGAATGTTACAAATTGATAATGGTTTAATTAAATGACTAAAACAGAAGTATTAAATTGTTTTTGATTTACATTTTTTCAATATATCTAACAAATATTTGTTAATATTAATAACTCAAATTTAAAGCAAATGTTAATCTTCAAATTTGTATTAAAGTTATAGATTACTTGATGAATATTCTAATAGATTTTATATTAATATTTTTCTTCTTTAATTTACATAATCATTCCTGAGTTTCACTTAAACGACAGATTGAATATCTGTAATTCGGCAGGTCGATATTGAAATTGGGTAGGTTTTAATAAAGCCCTTTGCTCCGTTCCTTCAATTTGGTTTTGGTATAAATGCAGATGAGAAAGGGTCGAGAATTAAAAATTCACCTTTCGCATATCGATCTGAAGACAAGGTTAATTTTATTTGGGATATTCCCTGAAGGTATTTGCTCATGAAGGCGGAAGAGGTGCGCAAAAAAACATAGGGAGAGGAGAGATGGAGCCGTGGGCCCTTTAATTAGAACCCTGTTTGGGTAAATTCTCAAGGAATTCCGTAAATAGAATGGTGAGCTGGAATAATGAAGAAAATCGCGTTTAGCGAAGACAACATAAAAGAGAAAACGAGAAAAAGAGAGATAGGTTTATATATATATCTACAGACACAAAAAAAAACGCAGGGCCGTTTTGTTTATCGGACTGTATTTGTTTTTAGGTGGAAATGAAGAGGAGGCGGCAGCAGCCGGGGACACGCGGGGAGGAGGACTTCGTTCCCGGGTTCTATTTAGATGTTTCAGCTGGCTAACCAGGAGTTAACCGGCGGTGGCTTACATCATCTACCTGCAGTAGACACCGGCGACTCCTCGTGCAAGCACAGACTCATCTCCGTGAGCTGCGCCCGTTCGCGGGAAAAGCCTCCAAGATACCGGCTTTCAGTGATTCCGTTTTTTACCAACCCATTATGTGAGTCTCATTCTCTCTGTCTCTCTATCTCTTTGTTTCTCTTTCTCCATCAGTGCCCCCCTTGAGCACCATTTGTAGTTATATAATTAGCGTTTAAGACGGATGGATACTAGCTGCTAAATGAGTAACAATATTTATAGACGCAGGCATACCAGAAACTCCAACATCGCTTACTCACATCAGGTTACACCGACAAAAAAAAAACGCTGCATCTCCACACTTCATTTCACTTAAACATTGCCATTTTCCTCACTTGATAACTTATTGAAAACTGCAAAATAACAAACTTTAATAGAACTAAATTTGTAATGTTGCACATTCAATTTTTGAATCTAAAAGAATATTATATAAAAGAAAAATATAAAACGCATCACGATTCTAAATTACTCTATACAATAAAAAGCGTACATTTCGTTAGAAAAAAATACTATAGTTAATTAGCATTTTTTAATTTCGTTTAATTAATGAGAAGAAAAAAATACCAATGAGTGTATTTGATTGTGTATTTTATAGAAAACTATATTCACTTTGATAAAATAAAAAGTATTGAAGTTTCGTGAAAAATATATAAAAGACAAATAAGATACTTCCAATCATAAGTTTGATAAATTGAATTGCTGATTTTTTAATATAATATTCAATTATATTTTAAAATCTTCTAATATTCAATTATCGAATATTATTTTATTGGTAATAATAATGAAATTATTAAATATATTTAAAAAGAAATTCATATTTTTTGTTCTAAATTAATGTATTTTGATTTGTTTGCTGAAAATAATTAGGAAATACCAAAAATTCCAAATATGGAAATATTTTTATGTATTTGCACAAACTCCTAATAAATCCCAAGACAATTAACACCAATTAATGCATTAGAATTGTTATGAATCATTTTTGGGTTTTACGTTTTTCACCGGCAATATTAATGATTTCCAACCCTTTTTTTGTACGTTTCCGTTTCCGCATTTTTTTCATTATTATCTTCGTTTTTGATAAGTATGTATGTGTATTTTTTAAATAACGTCCAAGATTGATTCGTTATTTTGGCAGATATGGCCACGAAAAATCTCACCCCCGACGCGAAAATAAATAAAGGCAATAAAGCAGATTAATGTCCGTCTGTTGGGCTGTCCATTTATCTAACGACCCGACGCCCTTCGGAGGCTACAGCCTCCGAACGAGATTGCAGGTATTTTCTGGACCCATCAACTTGGAACACTTTAAAATAAACGCCCATCTTCAACCCCAAAAACAAACATAAACTATGTAAGAAACAACAAAACACAACAAGAATACGATGAAACAAAATGTACTTTAGAATTATGATATTCTCACTAGTTCTTCATTATTTGTTTCAATAATAAGAAAGAATAAAAACAATTTACTGTTTCAAACGGCTATTGACCATTAATATTTTCATGACAAAAATATCATCCGTTTCTACAAAAATTCAACTTTTGGTCTGTACCAGGATTTCCCGGGAAATCCTGGCTGATCTTTATAATCTAAACTCCGGGATTTACCAGTTGGTAAACAAACTAACAAACTTAGAAACGGAATATTAACAATGAAATTGACATAAGACATAATTGAATATATGGTGTATCAATTATTGGTTACAATCGCGTTCAATGTCAATTAAATTGCAGTACTTCTAAGTACAATTAGTAGTTGGTACAAAGATAATTGCATATCAGGTGCATATTGGTTATAATCGCGTTTGATGAAAGTAAAATTGCAATGCTTATAAGTATATTTAGTTTATTTGGTACTACTAATAAACATACAACATATTATATATATAGACTAGAAGCAACATCGATATGATGCGTCCACATCACATGTAATAAGTAAATAAGAACATGTTTTTTTATACTTCAAGCGTACTTGATATTATAAATATTTTCAGTTTACTTATTTGACGTGGTGTGTCTGCACCCTAATAATATTTATATCTTTTTTTAAAGTCAATCAATTTTTTAACTTTTCAATTAATTTTACATTAACTTTCTACTAACCTATAAAATAATAAATTTTAAAGTTTTAAGCAAATTCTTACAAATTAAAAAAAAAACTTAGAATAAATGAATGCATTAGAAAGAACTATATATTTTTTAAACATGCTTTTTCCCTATTTTTCGTGATGTTGCCCTTCAGCTCATGCCGAATTGGAATTGCGTTTCCAATCGGGCTTTATAAATGGATTGGCATGAATTATGAATCGAAATCAATTATTTGTCCGAACGGAACGAAACGTGAAAATGTACTGGGTAAAAATAAAACTAGGGAATATCTAGTTAGTAAAACGTCCAGTAAATAAATTATTTCAACACAAAATCCAATTCAATTTCGATTGGATATGTATGTATATGTATGCGAAGAGTACTACTGTAGCAGCATTTATGTCTGCTATTAATTCGTAAATCGAATTACTATAAATCAATTATGTAAAATGGAATTCGAGTCGTTGTGTCGCTCGAAATATTAAAAATGATGTGCAATAAATCCAAGTCGACTATTAATCGTGATTTATTTGATTAATGTATTTTCATTTGTATACGTTAGTGTTTCTTTTTTGGACGTATTTTAAAGAAGTTTCATATTATTTCGATTTTAAAAATAGAATAAAAACACGATATACGGATAAAAGTCGACTATTAATCACGATTTATTTGACTAATGTAATTTTATATGAAAATGTTAGTTTTTAACAAGTTTTAAAGAAGTTTCCAATCATTTCAATTTTAATAAGACAATAAAATATGATATATTTAGATTAATTGAAATATATCGAATAATTCAACTAGTAAATAACAAATTTGTAAACGATAGTTTTTAAAGTGTTTTAAAGAAATTCAGTATAATTTTAAATATATTTTTGAAGTAAAGTGATTATATAATTTGCAAAATTATTTCATTTTTTGTATATTTCATAAGATTTTTTTTTATAAATACCGCACTGTTTGAATCCGGACTAATCGAGAAAAACTTTTTCAGAGTTAGATCCTTTTTAAATCATAAATCTGGTTGTTAACTATCAAAATTTTCGAACAATTGAAAACTGTTATATCGACGCTTCGTTATTAGAGATAACGTTAACTGATGTAAGAACTTATGTAAGACGTGCATATATATTTTCTATATAAAAACACTTAAAAAAGTGATAATAATGTTAAAATATGGCCCAATATTAAGATAAGAGGTAGTAAATATTATTAATTATCAAGTTTCTACCTATTTGTCTTTAATATAAGAGACATTAACAAAAATAGGTGATTCATAGATGTGTTTTAATTCCTGAAATATATCCCAAAATCAATATAGATAACAAATATGATATATTTTAAATTAATCGAATTAAAGCGACAAATTATATTTAAACAAAAAATCAGTAAATAAATTGGTTGTAGCAATGAATGTTTCGTATCTATTATCTGAAATAAATCAAGAAATGCGGTGATGTTTCGAAATGGGAAAAGACAGAACGTTGATGAAATTTGTCTAAACCAGGAACGACCGACTCGGATAAAACACATATATAGATATATATAATCTGGTGGTCTTGAAGGACACTAATGGAAGTTTTTATGGAGGGAATAAACCAAGTCGGAATCACGTTGTGGATGAGGGGAAAAAGCAAATTCGTGTTGCGACATAATTGCATGTTTATAAGTGGCACGAAAAGCCGATTTCGTTTCAGAAGAAAACATACGAAACGATCAAAAATTGCAAAAGATTATTTTTTTGCTAAACATACGTTAAATAACAAGAAATAAAAACATTAAAAAAAAGACGTTGCAAATAAAGCGACGAGGTTTACGACATTGTCACGGTATGTTGACAGGTGATTTAAGTGAGTTAAGTAACAATTGGCGAAAACCATCCTGGCACTTGGCCACGAAAAAATGGAGGTTGGGCCAATGCGAAACACTTATAAAAATTAAACAAAATCGAGCCTGAAATTACAAAGAAATAAATAAACAAAATAAAGTGGTGCCCCACGTTGGTAGCCGGTTTTAGTTTTGAACCACTTTGCAAACACCTCTCGACTGTTTATTTAATCTTGTATGATCCGTTTGTCAGGTTTTCTTTTACTCTTAAGCCGGATTACGTGCACGAAGAACATTTGCATTAACTTGCGAGCGTTTGAAACGTGTGTTTGTACGTTCGGACTTATGCAAACATAACAACATACTACTCCGTGCGATGCTATGAACACATTCCGCATTAAAACTGGACTAATACATACACACACCAGACACATTTATAAATTCAGGATATAAAAAAAAAGGAAACGTGCATTTTGCAAACATGAATTAACGAACGAGCACTTAACCCGTATAAGCCATAAACACACATGGAGATATACGATTTGCAGAGGAATTGAAACTCGGCTTGCAGTTACAAAAATAAAAGAAACGAGAGAAAGAAAGAAAAAGGGATTTTATTTTTATTTTATTTTCTGTGTTTGTACGTTCGTATTTAACGGGAAAACATTTAATTTCCTTGGCCGTAACTCTAATTGCCCGGCATCGGGGGTTTTAATTGCTTATTTTCCGGAATGCTTTTCATGCGAGCGAAACAAAGAGCGAGAATGGAGACCCATAAATATGATAATATCCCGTTGCATATTTTCTAGGTGATATATTTATCGGTCGCAAATATTGTTACGCAATATTTTATCCTCGAGCAATATAATATTTCGACGAAGTCCTATATTTTAAAGTTTAACAATTAAGAATCAAATAGTTAATGTCAGCTTTTATTGATAACATATAGTAAGACCTCGTTTATCGCTTTAGATTCATTCCTAAAGACAGTAAACAAAACAGCATAATAGGAGGTCATTTTAACACATAGCAAATAGGGAAACACGCGGTCAAAAATAAACAAATTTTACTTTAATTTTTAAGTTGTACTTATAGTAATTTGCATTATTATATATGTTTTATATAACACAAACATTTGCACACAGAAATATTAAGTTTATTTTTGATTTTTTATCTGGAGTCATTTGTCGCTTTCTTTTTCTTTCATTAAGCAAATGTTGGTAGCAGGCGATTGCACCCAAAATTCCTCTTTTTACTTTTGCACTCCTTTCAAAATTTGGATCATTCGCTACAATATTATCAACGATTTATATTATAAATGTTTTCTAAGAAAATCAGAATAAGTATTTTCATTCTTCATTTCCCTATTCTGCTAGTTCTTGAAGGTCATCGTTGCTGAGACCCTCACCATAAAACTGCAGTAACTCCTGAATATCCTGCTGATCTACATTTCAAACAAGCATACATTATGTGGAAGGACAGCGCTTCGTGTTTGGGAATAATCTTATTATATACGAATAATTTGAAGTCAAGTGAAATTTTGAGATTTTTAAGGTTTACAGTAAACCGCTTGTAACAAATCAGCATTAATCGAGGTAGCGCTAAACGAGGTCTTACTGTATTCAGTTTTATTATAAATACATTAATTATTTATTATAAACTTTATATATTTGTTTTTTATTTTCAATTTTTAACCAATTTAAAATAATTCTTTATAAAATTCAATAAAATTCATCATATTCAGATTTATTCGCAAATTAAAAACACATGCCTTATTTATGTCTGATCCTTTTATTAAAAATGCTAAGATGTTGATATGATTACAATTTTGAAATATTTATAGTAAATTCATCTGAGATGTAATAAAACCATGAAATTCTATGATTTATTGCTTTACTTATTCTTAAATTAAGTTGTTCATGTTTTCCATAATAAAAACATTCATTAATGTAAGTTTAACTCAAATTCGCCTTATCATATAGATATAGAGCCTAGGGCTAGGCTATTTTGTTGTTAAGTTGCTTTTTATTGTAATTCCTTGAGAAATTTACTAAATCTATTATTTATTGCTGAATGTTCAAAAATCAAAACTGAAATAATTAGTGACATCAGTAACAAATGTTACAAAAAAAATGTCGCAAATTTAAATCTGACGCTTTTACTAAGACACCCTATATAACTCCAAACTGTCTCAAAATGTTTAATATTCATAAATGATATGAATATGTGTATACAATATATTATGAAGATTAGTATTTGTTCGCTTATATTTAGTAACACCCTTTATAATTAATAAAACATTTGAATTACTAAAGGCGTAATTAAACCGCAACCTTGTGGAACCATAAGGAAATGTTGTAGCAAAATGTTATATTTATTAATGAATTAGTGTAAATGAGTAGTGAAGGTCATGTGTACCATGTGTTTCTGGCGTTTGCGCCTAATCCCAAAACACACATCTGGTAGGTTTTAGAAAGATCACATAGTGGGTCTAATGCTTTATAAAACAAATTACTTTCAAGTAATTATCTATTTAAAAACCATATGAATCATTAAAAGTTATTTTTAAATGACTTGTTTTTATAAAAGTACATTCGAATTGATCGAAAACTATAACTATTTTCTTTATATAAACATGAGGCAATTTGTTTTTTATGAAATTATACTTTCAAGTAACTTATACAGTCAAAAAAGAAATAGTTGTATATAATTAATTTGTTGTCAAATATAATATAACCGAAACCTAATCCATTCCGAGAACATAAGATACTTAATTGACTTATGACTTATAGAAAAACGTAGAAAAACAATTTTTCTGCAACTCCCAACTATTTTTATATTCTATTTAATATACTTAATTAATTATTGCTTTATAAAATTCCTGGTTATTTCTTATTTATTTTATTATAAAAATACATTTAAATTATAATAATAATCATTTAATTATTGATTAGTTACTTCAATTTTAAATAGTTAAAGTCCATTAACATTTTGCATCTATCATCCAGAATGCAATTGCTTGTAAAATAAGTATAACACAATTTGAATCGGGATTTCCTAAACTGTGCGTCGCGGTTGAGCTACAGGAGAGCCTCGAAAATTGAATAAAAACTACTATTAGCATAAAGTTCGCCCTAAGATACACCAATGTTTTGACTCCTAGAAAAATTCTGATATAGACGCCCTTACCGCAAACCGAAAAAGTTTGGAAACACTTGATTTATATGATAAGAAAATGCAATAAGTAATTTTATGAGATTTAAGGTTGTTTATTTACACATTTACGATGTATTATTAAGTATTTTTACATTACCTAAAGGCTAAACATTTGTAATTTATATTTCGTTTCCCGCGCGACCCAGCTTATTTGTTTGTGGTTGAACTATAAAAATGTAATGCAATCCAATTAGAGGTCGCGACCCATATTTTGAGAAACACTGTTTTAAAGTATTGGTACTAATTAAATTTAGTGTATTTATGATGTTTCGACGAATGTAATATGCATATATTTAACTAATTACCCTTTAATCTTGAATTGTTAACTAACTTGTATTAACAAGCATACATTTTATAACAAATACGGGGAATACTATTACTTGAAAGAAAAGCTATATTATGAGTAGCTTTGGTATTTTGTAGTTTAATGTAGCGCAACTAATTAAGGAGTATGTACGCCTGGGGCAGGAAGAGCCCGGAGACGCGATATGTTTATACGCTAATTCCCTTTGATGTTATCCCAAAGAACAAACAAACGGCAACGCGAATACGAGTTTTCTTTATTCCCATTCTTATTTTATACAAATATATATTTTTTTGTTTGTTTGTGTCGTGTGTAAATAATTGAAAATGTTGCAGAGCCACAACGAAGAGTTGAAAGATCTGGGATCGGTGAAAGAGGAGAAAGGCCCGCGGGGCCTCGGATGAACGACCGTCCCACCAGAAGCAAGAAAAGCAAGAACAGGTAATTTCCTCCTTTATAATTCACCGTCGTAATCCAAGCACTCGTTGGCAGCCGCCCCCGCGCGCCGCCGAACCCCAGCCAAACCCCCCCTCTAGGGCCCCTCGCGTAAGGCGGCAGACCTGATAAATTATTCGTGGACTCAATTTTAATTAATAAAAGCATCAACTATTAAAATGCCATTCCTGGAAAGTAACAACCCCCGCCCGCCCCCGCTCCAAACTCCCTTTATCCAATATTCAGATTGTATCCCTGAATCAAGAGCTATATCAATTTCAATAACTGCGCCAGTTATCGCCTCCCCTCGACAACTTTTTAATTGCCCAATTTCGTATTTAACGCCGCCATTCGCAATTTAATACTGAACTATTTATTTCCGGCCATAATAATAACGACTCTTACGGTTTTATTCATACGATGCACGTTGCTAAAATAAAATCATGGTGCAAAAATTGATAACTGTATTGCGCGGGATTTTCGAAAACGTGTTTAATAATACCGATTTATTCATGTGGCGTACAATAAACAAAAACCACAAAATTGAAAACAGTAATACGCAGGATTTTTGAAAATACGTTTAATGATAATGACTCTTTGGGTTTTATTTATGAAATATGCATACCCAAAAAAAAAATTAAATCTGAAATTAACGGAATTTTTCAAAATTACGACTATCTCGGTTTTATTTTTGAGATGCACAACAATTTCGAAACTGAAATGCGCGGGATTTTTAAAAACAAAGTACAATGTACTTCGCAATAATATATAATAAAATTGAAAATCGCGGTATTTTTAAAGTCGAACTTAATAACAGCACAACAAATTTGCGAACTACAATTTTGGTTTTATTTGGTACAATAAATATCAAACAATTGAAAAGATAATTCAAAACTGAAATGAGCGGGATTTCTAAAAATACCTATAATAATAGAAATGATTCTTTCGGATTTGTTCGTGCTATAGATGGAACAAAAATCGAAGCCTAAAATTGAAAATTGAATTAAGTGGGATTTTTGAAAATGCTAATAATAATAACGATTCTTTCGGGCGGGCACATTTGTACACATAGAACAATAAGAGAAGCAAATAATTAAAAGGAAAAATTAAGCGGGATTTTTTTGCTAATAAATGCTCATAATAATAACGAGGTAATGTATATCATTAAAAAAAAGAATAAAATTCATAACAGAAATGATTTTTTTTGAAAACTTTTAATAATAACGACCCATAAGAATTAATTTATGTGGCGCACAACATAAAACAATTACAAAATTGAAAACTTAAATGCGCGGGATTTTTAAAACTGTGAATAATAATAACTATTATTTGGCTGTTTAAAGTTTTCATGCGCAGTAAAACTTTTCACACAATTTAATGCGAAAAAAAAAAAATAAGTACAAATTAGAAAATAGGAATGCGCGGGATTTTTGAAAACGCGCCGGCAATAAATTTCTGATATTGTGTGCTTTCGGAATTAACGACGACCTAAAAGAAAATTATTATTTTGTATACTGCTGTGAAATATATGGTGTAAAGGAAGGCGCGTGTCTGAAGGATATTAAGGAGGATTTCGTTTTCGGCGGTTTCACAAACGGATATTTACTTACCTTGTTTATCGCCCTCTGAAACATATTTTCCTCCAGATTCCATCAATTCCATTAAATCAACGAAAATTCTGCTATACTTTACTTTCTAAAGTACTTTGTTATTATTATCAACAATAAAGTTTTAAAACATTTAATCAAGAAAACGCATTACTTTTTAAACTACAATAAACATTTATAACTTCGAAATTGACAAACTCAGTAATTACAATCCTACAATGTACATTAAATATTCAATCAATGCATGAGGAAAATGCAACATTCAATATTAGAAACAAATTATTTCATTAACATTTTAATTAATTACAATTGTTACAAGTGTTTATTTAATTAATTTATTTCAAATTTTGAAAATCCGAATTATATTAGAATTTAAACAGATTGTACATAAATCAAAACAAAAAAAAAATAATTAAAAAATACTTTCGTTAAGGCTTTAATCTACTTCACGAAATAACATCAATCCACGATTAACGATTAAATTATATTCATCAAAGAAAGTAATTTAAGACTTAAGAAAATGCAAGTCAATTAAGCATAATTTAATACGAAAATAAACGAAATTTTGGATTAAGCATATTTGAAGCAGTTAAATTTAAATTATATTGGGACAAAGTAATTCACTTTCGTACAAAAAATATACAGCATTAATCCGTATAGTATTGCTAGTTGAAACCGCACTAATCGAAGAATCAAATATATACATATATAAATACCACAACAAAAGGCTAAAAGAAACAGTTATTCTTATCCATGTTTGCATATTTTTTAGAATTCTAAATATAAAATTCTATAGTAAATCAATGAATATTCCAATAATTAAACTATCAGAAAATGCGATGGAAGTGATTTCGATTCGTCGCATACAAAAATCTGTTAAAAGACGGATTTGCATGTCGTTAATTTGCGATTTAAAGCTCGTAGCGAGAAGAATTTACATTTTAATCAGCTTTCGCAACTGAATTGTTAAGTATTGATCATTGTAGTAGTTTACTCTAGCAAGACTTTCGTATTCACATTCTTTTGATAAAAGAGGAATTACTCAGAATAATACAAGTAGTTTAATGAGATGCCGTGTACCTTCTTCAATATCTAAGTAATTGCGACATCAAAGGCAACAGTTTACGTAAAGAAATGGGGATTTTATATTTAAAACGGGATCCAAATTTCAATCTACATATTATTATTTTTAAGAAGAAACATTAATAAAATATGTATATGTAAATATAAATCTACATGTTCAAAATCTACATTATAAAATAATTTATTGAAAAAATGAATGCATTTTTATTTCTAATTTAATAAATTAAATATGTATTTTTGTTTTATATTAAATTTCATTTTCATAATTTAATTTTGTCCATTTAGTTCAATAGGTAAAAAAAACAGATCAAATTATTCCATAATTACTAAATAAAAAATT